ACCCTATCTGCTCGGTACCATGTCTGCCGTTTTGCTCAACTTGCAGGCCATGCGGCTTGCCGTTACCCAAATAGAAAACTACGGGTTCTTCACATAGGTGAAGTTGATACCACCTTCTATTCGATCCAAGGGGAACGTCCTGATGACATTGAGGGAACTAGGGTCCCAAGTTTCCTTGTCCGGAGTTTTGATGCACAGTGTTCGCAAAAAGGCGTCTAAAGCTGCAGTTGTGGTGTATAGTATGTTCAGGTCATTTCTAACGGGGGATGCGTAATGCAGTGCATACAAAACCTGCATGATCACGGCTGGAGCACGGACTATTTTTTCATTTTAAAAAAGAAAATATTTGCGCTAAAGATCTCGAGTGAGTACATAAACCGGTCATTTCGAGCGGTGTGGTTCGTCTTCCTAATAAAGACCTCTGCCTATTCCACTGCTATCTACACACACACTCCGCGACACAACAGTGGCGATCAGGATTCCAATGGCGACGATGACGGACAAGCAGTTCCAGCAACTTCTCACTGCACTCACGGACGCCATCAAGGGAATCGCACAACAACAGCCGCAGCAGCCAACGACACCAACGGCAGAAGCAACGAGGACCTTCGACGTGCTGGCAGGACGAATCGCGCAGTTCTCCTACGACCTGGAAGTCGACCTCGCTCTCATGGTTTTCATGGACACGAGGATATCTTCAGAGTAGACGCCCAGACGCTCGACTAGTCAAATCGCATTCGACTTCTTCTGCACAAACTGGACGCTACTGCCTACGAGAAGCACTCAATACATCCTGCCGAAGATACCACGAGGCGTCACGTTCGAAGAAGCCGTATCGATGCTGACCAACCTGTTTGGACCACAAGGGTCATTACTCCGTCGTTGCTAAGCTGCACTGGCTGGCTACGGTAAGGGGAAATCAGTGGGAATGGCGCAGTGGAAAGGTACTCCAAGAGTAGGACGAGTCCTCTACAAGGTCCTGCTTGGAAACAAAGCCTGTGTCCGACATGCCAATTGGCTCCTTCTCTGACATTTCGGAGTACCGCCACACAATAACGACAAGGACTTAGAAGCACTGCCCGAGACGTTCTATTTGCAGTCGACAAGTTCAGTGCTAGCTACAACAACTACAGTACGAAAGAAAGGGTACAAATCAATTCTACGAGAAAGATCTTCCCGAGAGTGGTGGGCATTAATTATGACCGATACCCTCAAGTCTTGTGCGAACTTCAACCTCATTATTGAGAGCCTAGCTCTTAAAAGGAAAGACTCGATTTATTCGTGCCATTTGAGATTCTCCTGTTTTGGTACTAGTTTCAACCGCCATACTCTCTGCTTTCAAGACAGCTGTAGACAAACATTTCACATGATGAAACTTATTCACTATTTCCTCCCAAAAGCGAAGCCCGCGATCATTCGCCACCACAGATGGTGGATTAGGGGTTTGCATATAGGCGTACCTTATCGCGGACCGTGCCTTTATACAAGATTTCTATCGCTGTCGTTTTGTCACCAGGCACTGATTTAGAGTTGCTGCTGTT